CTGTTGAGACGTCAGAAGATATCAGAAGAGTACTCAATAAGTTCGACATCAGAGTTTTCTTCGAAACATCAGACTTACTGCGAAACAACCCTTTCCATATAAAAGACCAAATTCTTAAGGATTCTCTATCTAATTGTATCTATGAAATAAAATGCTTGGAATGTGATGTGATATTCATCGGACAAACATCGCCAGAGAGAAGTCAAACTCAGAAGAGATGAACACCGTAGAGCATCTGTTCGACCAACACTGAGAAGTAAATCCAGTTGAACTAGAAAAGCTTGAAAAATCATCAACCATAGCTCGTCTACACGCTATAGAGTCAGGTCACAAAATTGATTTTGACAATATTGAAATAATCCAGAAAAATCATTTCAGAAATCACAAAGAACGTCTCATATGATCAGAAGCACTTCATATCAAGTGGAATCCAAATTGTTTTTGAATAGGAATGATGGACTAAAACAGAATTTGACCTGGTTACAACCTCCACCCACCTCCAAAATGAAATGACAAAATCACCACGAGTGTGATAAGCAATTTCATTATGCAAACACACGCAGTTTCTATAATTCTACAAACTTATCAAATATAACAATCAACACCTACCTGGTTTTGTTATCTTTACCAATTGACCAACTTGACAACAACAAAAAATGATCCCATACTGACGAACGATGATCAAGTTAGTAAACTTTGTTTTGATACCAGCCAGGGTAGATGTACTATTACCTCTCTTATTTAGTTTATTGATCTTCGTTGTTATTTTGAGTTTCAATATGTCCTTTTAACTTGACCTAAGTAGTTTATTTTCTCACCTGTTAACTCTTTGTTATATACATGATGAGATTTTGTAAATTCTGCTTTAATAATACTTTGATGAAGCTGTTAGCATCCTTAGATAACGAAATGTCAGTAAAACTAACAATGTCGTTGTACTTTTGATTCATTCATTGGGAAATGCAAAAAACAGCCTTTATTATAATGAATATCGTATACTCAATGCTCAAACTGTTTTCAAACTGTTAAAAGTGAACTTGGTTTGGACATATATAACATAATCCTATACGCGAGTATTATAATAGCACTTGAGTATTTCCACTCAGTGTCAAACTTTAGCACAAACGCTAGAAATCTGATTGTTATTTTCTATTGTAGTTCCATATTAATATGGGATTCTATTCTTCCACAGTGCCCAAATTCTACTCTTAGTAAGGTGTCTATTCGGTAGAAACCAATGAATATGCACGGAAGACACATCTGATGAGGAAGGAAGAAATTTTCCACAAAATCTGGTTGATAACAATTATCCAGACAAGTTCATTAGGAGATATAATGTGTTCAGAACACCAAGAACCACTTTTCAAATCGCCTCCAGCAAAGATGTTTATATCAGTCTACTCTTTATGGGTGATCATAGCAGCTTGGTAATTCAACGGAGATTGAACGCTGCTGTTAAAAAGACTTTTTATGCAGCTAAGATCAAAATAATTGAGAATGTGAAGCCAATATATCCATCTAAGCCCTTCGAATATGCGAAAAATGATGTCACATCCCACTGTATTTACCAATTTGAATGTATGTGTGGACACACATACATAGAGAGGACTCATCGATCTCTTCAAATAAGGGTTCAGAAGCAAAGGGAATCCCTAGAACGCATATATGGTGAGAACAGGTGACCTAGTCCCTCTAATAACAAACATATTGTAGAGAAAGCACATAAAATTGATGTTTACACGTCTTTTAAACCTATCTCTCTATGAAGCGTGTTTGTGGTGTATCTTAAAGTTTGTGCAAGCCCTAGCTGACAGTTATGAAGTTTAAAGCACCTTCATGCATTCAAAGCAACAATTCGTCATCACACTAAACTTTCTTTGGTAAATTTTGTTTTGATACCACAGCAGATGAACTATTACCTCTGCTATTTGGTTTAGAGATCTTCATTGTTATTTCGATCTTCAATATGTCCTTTGAACTTGACCTAATTTGCCTGTTTTCTCAGCTCTTAACTCTTTATTAATTTCATATGTATGTATACCAGTGACAAGTGCGTGTTCGAAATGTGTTGTGCGCAAATACACATTACACGATTCAGACTAACTACGTCTTCTTATTGCTTTGTCTAAATTTATCAGAATTGAGGTGAAAAGTTGTGAACTGTGATTTCCACGAAAGGAGTTACAGTGACTGATACTCAGCAACAGTTCTATACTGACGGTCTTGTACTGTTAATTAGATTAGAAGCGGATTATAGTATTTTTATTTTGAGTTCGTAAGTTATTATAAGAGTGAAATATGTTTAATGATGTGCTATTTAGTGATATCTTACTTACAAATTGTTAGTAGTAAAAGTGAACCAGACAGAAACATAGACGTAAAGCTGATACAAAGTTCATTTAAAAGAACTACGTTATTCCAGACACTTATATGTCTTAGATATTTAGCATTTACCACCAGTAGAAACCCTATGGCATCATCAAAATACTAATAATGTATACACTCTTTTCGTGTTTTGAAATTACCCTGACGGTGCCGAAGAAACTGTTATTCATGAACATAGAATTTAAAGGTGATACCGCTGCTGAGATCCTGAAAAATCGCTTATGCAGATCACTGAGAAAAAGTCTCCCTTAGTCGAAGTTTACACAAATGATCAATAGATGTGTGAAGGATAAACTGCCGCTATGGGCCACTTCGGTGTGTGTTTATAAATTCACCTGCTGCTCCTGTGGAGCTAGTTATATTGACCGCACAAAGCGCACACATTCCAAACGCATCTCTGGACATTACCCGGTATGGTTATCAAAAGGACAAAGCAAGACAGTTACTAGCTCAATTCTCGAGCACTTGGTGAAATCAAGTCACGTAGCTGCATCAGAGTTGTCTTTCAAGATCATTTACAATGTGAGGTCAAATGGTAAAAAGGGCGTCAGGTTTCGTTATTTGTTTATGGCAGAGGTGTTGGCAGTTCGTCACTACACTCCCGAAGACAAATCGTCTGGGTATCTGTAGTGGATCTCATAAGAATCAAAAAATTCCTGACATTAACCATTGTAGTCTCATATCTGAAACTGTCATAAGGATAATTTGTCGACAAAACAATAGGAAGATGTTGAGTATATGACATAATGCAAAATTTGCTTATTTCTGCAACACGTTTCAGACATTCTGATCATACAAATACTCGTTATATTTATATAAAAGTTGGCGATAATATGAATAGCGAAAATTGAAAATACTGTCACTAGTATTATTATTATTATTCCTTGCGTTCCAAGTGGAACATAGGGCTTCTACAACACATCTCTACTTCGTTCTATTTTCTGTTTTCCTCTTCAGCTGCGTTCACGATTGACCAAACTCTCTCATCTCTTCCTCGCCACACAATTTCTTCCATGTCACCCTCGCACCAACGGCCCACTTGTCGCTTCCCATTGGGATTCCACTCGAGGCATTGCCTGGTGTGCGATGTCATTCGGCGGCCTCCTCAATTTATGCCCGATCCATCTCCACTTTCTCCTACATATTTGTTGAGCGATTGGCTCTTGCCTGTTGGTTTGTTCCCATCCAGAGTTTCTTGTTGCTTATTCTTTCTGACCATTTGATCTTCAGTATGGAACCAGCGAAGTGGGCAGCTGTTGGTGAAAGTCTGTTGGAAATCCTGTTCGTGACACGCCAAGTTTCTGTCATCAGTAATCTTTCTAATTGTGATGAACTGTCTCATACGATAGACAGCGGTGAATTCAGAAGGAGGGTGTACGGTGGAGCGACAAACACATCTTAACAGATGTGAATATCGTGGATGAACTATCTCAAATGTCTCATGAACTTGGAATTATGCAAGAATAAACCAACAGGCTGGCAGAAAAAGTAGCAAAGACAGAAATCCACGTGAAGGCAAATAAGACAAAGGTGGTGAAGATACCTGACCTTCAAAAAATAGCCATCAGCAAAAGAACAATAAATCCAGAATAGTTCGTCTCTCTCACCTTGGAAACATGGTTTCAATTGTGAATGAAGATTTCAAAGGTGAACAGGATATAAAAATCAAGACAGGAAAGCATTACTCTGAAATTATTGTATAAGATCTACTCCACGGAGCTCAGCGAAAAGGACAAGATCCGAATTTTCAAGAACAATGTCAGGTTACTGCTTCTTTGTGGTTCACAGACTTGAGGCGTGCACCAATCAAGACATTTCCAACAAATTACTGAAGACTTTCATCGACAACTGCCCACTTCGCTTAGCGCTGAAGGCTAGACGGCTAGCCAGAAAGACTGAACAACAAGGAACTGTAGCCGGCAGAGAATCAACCAACAACCTACTGATTAACAAATCTGCAGAAGGAATTGAGGATGTTTTAGACAAATCCTGAAGAGACCACTGAATGACATTGCGCTCAAGGCCGTCTAGTGGGATCCGAAAAGGAATCGACGAGTTGGGCATAAGTTCTAGGTTGATATGGAGGAAATTAGGTAAGGAGGGGATGAAAGGCTGTGAGCAGTCATGGTGCCATTTGAAACTGATGAGCATGAACCGAGTGGAATGAAGATTTACCTGTAAACTCCAATGATCTTGATATCCTATTTGATACACTTTCAACCTTCTGATACTTTAATATTTCGTTCTGTTAACCTCTGTATACTCCTTCACCGGTCTAAAAACGTTTACATTGAAACGACGCCTATTTGATATCTGACAATGATGATAATGGCAGTGTGGATTTACCTTTCTTGATTTCAGATTCATCGTATCAAGCAAAAAGCATTGTCACCCAAAAGAAAACTCACACTCCGTCTGTGTTCCCCGAGTCTGTTCAACACCTTTAAGGTACTTCTGTGTAGACAGTTTAATTGCGAAGCTTCTCCTCTACAGAAAATCTTAGGAAATGAAGTTTGTCCACTAATTTCTCATTATAAATAATCAAAAGGCTTTCATTGGTTGTTAGAAAAACCGAATTCATAGGCAAGAAGCTACAAAGCTGCCTACCTACTTACTCAAATTTGCTCACCTGTTTGGTTTGATTGATCAAACAAATTCAATTTCTTCCATTCATTTGTAATATTCTCTAGGCTTATTCCATATTCACATGATTTGAAATGCTATAAACAATGTAAGAATAACAGTAAGTCACAACAAAATCCCTTTTGAAGTTTTGGAAACATATGTACAAAACACAAGTAATACTCATTTTTTCAGGAAATTCAGTATGTGAGAAAAGTTTATGCTCATTTTAGATGTATTATGACAATAAGGTGACATAGAACAATCTTGAAGTAAATTGGTGGATGGTAATTGGCAGTGGAATCCAGGATGTACATTTCGCAGTATATAGGACTCGTCATCCACATGGGCGTACCTGCAATCCCTAATGAGTCAAGGCATTCCCACTGAATCTTGAATCCTGTACCCATAGTTTTAAAAGTCCCAAATTAGGAAGTATGTGACAGCTGTCCAGTAAACCCAGGTTTTTCAGTGGTTCTCTAATTGATGTCAGCTTATGATGAAGTCCTCCATACAATCCAAACGAAATCCCTACAAAACCAATACTTGATAATATCTTCATTTCACCAGTTTTGTTCCTATCCAGTATAAACGTTCCCTAGTGAAATGTTTGTTCTCAAAGGCCCGAAAAATATGCATGAGTGACACATTGATGGATGAGCTTCGACATATACATTCAGTTTTATTAGCTAATGGTTATCCAGAAAACTTTATCAGTTGTCACAGTAAGGATAGACCACATCTAGAAAAGACAGCTTATGTACCAAAGAAAGCTATAATTTATTAACCTACCATGCAAATGTGATCAGATTATGCAGTTGACAGCTGAAAGACTTCGGTCAGCCATCAAACGCACATTTGTGGTGAGAGCAAGCTGCTAGCCAATTGGTAGACATTGATCTACGCTGATTGGTGGAAATTAATCTAGGCTGATTCAACAACCGATCACAGCTGACCTAGACGTGGACAAATATGATTCGCAGACAAGTGGCTCGCATTTCCGAGAAATATCGAAAACGAGAAAGCAGAAGACTGCGTTTGTTTGCAAACAACCAATCAGAAGACCGCCTTCTTTCTCCGGGCAGAGCCTTATTAATGTACGAAAAATACATATAAATACCTGTTGGTTTTCGTAATAAAACTGATCTGTTGCCTGGCCCTTGTCTTCTGTTGTTACACATTCTATGCCCCATCTCTTTTTCTCACATGCCGAACATTTTCGATCCCTTTACCTATCTACGAATAAAGGACGAAATTCTGTGGACTTTACTTCAAACTGTATCTACAAGTTAACCTGCAGCTGCGGTGACACGTATATAGGTAGAACCAGTAGAATGTTCCAATGTGATCGTCGAAAAGAACATGTTCCAAAATGGCTTCTAAATCATATAGAAAATCCCAATGCGAGTAATCTGAATAGAAATCCAGCATCATCATCCATTGCAAAGCACTTATTAATGTCAGGTCACAAAATCAATATTAATGACTGCTTCACAATTATTTCATCATATAACTCTAATTAAAGGTTATTGAAGGTGATGGAAACACTTTCGGGGATTAATCACATACAGCCCAAACTATTTGTACAAAAACAATCGACTTCAAACTTCGCCTACCATGGACTACTTGACCTATTTAAATAAGATTGGTCATTAGTATGTACTTTTGTTTTTATTTAACTCAGTAATTGTCATGAACTTTATTTTAATATTATCGTGATTGTTGTATAGAGGTTGTAAAGAGACTACGACATGACGATATCATCTCGCGAAATTTGTCTTCTAAATGCCATATTCAAATTTATCAAAGGGACTAATTGTTTTAATTTTGAATCATTAGAAATGTCAGTGGGAGATCACAAATATCGGTAGATAATATTAAATCGCAATCATCTCAGAAAAAGGTGCCTTACATGGCTAATAGTTAAATTGGTTACTATTTGACATTTGAGAAGACTGGCACTGGGTCCAATCCCCACTGTGAACACGATCACATAATTATGTATAAGTTCAACCGTCTGATAAGTCCCAGTTGGACGAAACGTGTCTTCTGGATTCTGCGGCTAGCTGCTGTAAGCAAAGTAACTTTGTTGCTAACTGGAAAATTTGTCTCACTACATTCAGCATTTTAATGAGCAGGAATTTTGGGGGCGCTTAGTCGAACATGCAAAAGTCACACCTAGTGCGTCGGTGACACAGCGGTACAATGCTCGCCAACCACGCCTTGTGTGGTTCGGGATTCGATCCCCGGCCACCGACGCACTCCTTGCTACTTGGCTAAGCCAGTAATAAGACTGATAAGGAGAAGGGAAGGTTGAGCATGAGGCTGGCTAGCAACCCCATCCCGTAAAAATAAACACCACTGCTATCGGAACTTCAAGCGTCTAGCTCGAAGGCACCCTATGTCCTACTGGGAACGTAAAGGAATAAAAAAATACCTATTCGGAAAATTAATTCTACTTGATATGAATGCAAAAGCAACATTTTTTTTGCTTCTGTGACAGACAAGCTTCTTCATCAGACGTGAATTCATGACTTATGCATGCAGTGACATTATAACCTGATTGGGAAGTTTTTGTTATTTTTGTGGTCCTGGTCAACATTCTCCCCAGTCTGAACTTGGTAACTTTCTCAGTGTGAGAGCGGTGAATTCAAGTGATCAGTTGCTTATAGTGTCATGTCTGGAGGAGCATTCTAGTCAAGTTAGGCGACCCCACAAATCAATAACACTCCATCATAACATAATCCTTATCTAACTTTATTACGAAGCATAGCGTCAACTGTCATCCTCCATCCTGCTAAATCTACCGCCACTCCTCTGGGCAACGCATGTTTGAATCTCAAAGAGGGTATCATTCCCTACTAAGTGATAGAGCTCCTTTGTTAATCAGTGCCAAATGAGCAGCAGGAAACTCGGTTCTCCAGGGCTTACTGTGCATTGTTTTAAATCCGATAACGTCTATCTAAATTTATTAAATGGACTAATTGTTTTAAATGATAAAAGTCGTGAATTGTAGTCTGTTTGATGATGAATTATAACTGACTGTTAACATGAACTTACGCTGTTGTCGGAAGAGTATTTTCTAGCACCATATTCAGTGAAAAACATTTTCAACTGTTTCGTGAATCCCTGTAAAAATAATTTTTTAAAAAATAAATGAGAATTATGATTAGTATCATTAAATAAGAGAAAAAACTAACAGATTACTTATTTGGTTAAAGGAATGAAATGTTCAATTACATTATTATTATTATTCCTTTGGGTTCCAAGGGGAACGTAGGGCTTCAAAAACACATCTCCACTTTCTTCTATTCTCTGCTGTCCATTTCAGCTGGCCTCACCATCGACCTTAATCTTTCGTCTCCTCCTCGCAACATCTCCTCTTTGTCACCTTCGCATTGACGAGTGGAATATAGGGCTTCAACAACTTGTCTCCACTTTCTTCTATTCTCTGCCGTCCTCTTCAGCTGGCTAGCTCCACGACTGCTCATAATCTCTCACTTCCTCCTAGTACGATCTCCTCTATGTCAAACTCCGACGTCCAACTGGTTGCTTCCCACTGGGGTTCGACTCCAGCAATCGCCTGCATTACGCGCGATGTCATTCGACGGCCTCCTCAACATATACCCAATCCATCTCCATTTCCTTCTACATATCAACTTGTTGAGCAGTCGGCTCTTGCCTGTTGGTTTGTTCCCAGTCAGAGTTTGTTGGTGCTAATTCTTTCTGGTTGGCTGGCCATTTGAGATGGAGCCAGCTGGCGAAGGTGGCAACTGTTGATAATCCATAATGGAGTGTTGATAAAAGTCTCCAACCTGTTGGAAATCCTTCTCGTTAAATGCAGTGCAAGTTTCTGACCCGTATAGAAGAGATGACTGACTGAGTGATTTCACATTTTTGTTAAACAGAATCCGAATCCCTTTCTTTATGCTGAATGAGTGATAGCAGAAGATTTCCAAACTGACTTCAGGTTGATAAAGACGTATCTTGCCTTTCCGATTTTTGGCTGGCTTTAACATCTTCATCCGTAGTATCTGCCTATGGTTCGAACAGTGCTTCTTGGTCAGATAAGTGAAGAAAAAAGTAACCTGTGTCAGATTTATCCTGTTGGTGGTGATTGGTGCTGGCTGTTGTTGCTGTTGGTGGTTGGTTGGTTATCTTCATCACCTCCGCCTTCTCTAAAGTCCACTTGGAGTCCAGTCTTCATCGCCTACATATTCAGCCAGTTTGTTGGTTTTCACCTGCAAGTCATCGAGTTTCTGTATGTGACATTAAACATAAATTATCCACGCGCGTAATCCGGATCTTCTAGAGTCTTCTTATAGGTCAGCGCAACCTAATCCTATCTTCTCACTCCCTGTGCACAGTCTTCCGCATAATTCAGACCACCATAATTAAGAATATCATCGGTGATAATAGGCAGTCAGCCGTATCTTACTCATGTATTCACTTCGAACGCCTCGCTGAGTTTTCCGTTGTGGATCAGTAGTGTTCAGTCGTGTCCCCAAAAGGAGATGGAAGTGAAATGATGTAGCTGTCATTGTTTTGCAGCAATTCTAGTGAAAAGAAAGTTGGTAGTTGAGTGTCAATTTAACAAGTGTGAAGAGGGTGTGAAAATGTACAAAAGAAACATGTGAGAGTGATAATAGTGAATTAAATATTAAAGCAAAAGCAAACTAAAAGTAAAATTTAAACTTTAAAAATCAAAAAATCAAATGTGTTTTACAGCGAAGGTAGAATAAGAGACTGGACAAATTTTTTCTGTATGAAGAGCTCGAGGTTGTACTGATGAATTGCCAGCGCCTCCATCATATAAAAAAGCTGAAACCTGATGCCCTTTGTACCATTTGGCCTCACCTCGTAGATAATCTTGAAAGACGACTCTGGTGGAGCTACGTGGCCTGGGTTCACCAAATGCTCGAGAATTGAGCTAGTAAATGTCTTGCATTCTCCTTTTGCTAATCAACCATGCCGGATAATGTTCAGAAATGCTCTTGGAAAGTGTGCGCTAATATAACTAACTCCACAGGAGCAGCAGTTGAATTTATAAACACACACCGAATCGCCCCATAGCGGCAGTTTATCCTTCACACATCCATTGATCATTTGTCGGCTATAGAAATTGATACGTAGCTCAGACCAAGAGAGAGTTTTTTCTCAGTGATCTGGACAAGCGATTCTTCAGGATTTCAGCAGCGGTATCACCTTTAAATTCAACACTCATAAATAGCAGTTTCTTTGGTAGCGTCTGAGTTCTTTCAGGCTTTTCCCTTAACTTCATGTTTTTCCCGATATATCTTGGAGGATATCCATTCTCTATGAGGACATGTCTGAGTCGCCCCAGTTCCCCTTTCGGTTGTATCACTGGAACATATCCTTCTTATTCTTGAGGATAAGGAGTGGATCAGGTAACTCCTTCTCAAAGGGACCCAACTATGAAAATTTGTGTACTGACCATTCCATGTTAGTTAGTTAGTTTTCCAATTGTCCTCTAACTGATGTTATCAAACTTGTCACCAATCAAATACCTGCAAAACCATTACTTTATAATTAATCTGGTGTTCTCTAGCGACTGGTTCTATACAAGAAGTTACCTGGATTTCTAGTGAGGAATTATGACCAACGGGATCCACCAAGTCAGGCGAGGGGACTGTTACTTGTCGATGACATGAGCTGGATGGTCTAAAAGTTCACTTTGTAACCTTGGTGGGTGGGCACTGTGAAGAGTCACAAATTAGGACGAAAAAGCTGTCAAGTACCCCCCCACCAAAAGTTGGTTTTCTGATGTTTCTCTAACAGATTTCAACTCTTTATCGAATCTTTAACCAATCAAATCACTGCAAAGCTAATACTTGATAAAGCGAAAAATTCAAAAATAATCATGGCGTATAACATTCATATAATTACATATTAACGCTGTAAAAACGCATAATTCATACCATAAATTTATCCCCATGATGTGGTCCTCCAGAAAGAATATAAAATCTATCCAACATTGACGATTGTTCTGATTTATTTTCAAATGTATCTCCGTGTAAATGATGATACTTGATATTTTGGTGATAATAAATTTGGTAAAGCGGTTTTTTGAACGAGTTAAATTTGTTGAACACTTTAACACAGACATCTGTAATCTTTTTCAATTTAAAAAAAATCAAATAAATAAAGTAAATGGGATGAATTTTTTGAGAGTTAACTATCTTGAGAATGAAATTCTTTGGTAAAATAAATGAATTCCCAAAACGCTGACGCCTCCTGCCGGTTGCCTCCAATCGTCTGACACCAGTTGAAAGTGTTTCACAATTGAAAGTCGTCACGAGCAGCGGGGACCAGAAACACGGTATTGATTACTCACCAATGACTAATCAATATAAACATTACAGTCCTAAGAGAGTTTTGTCACGCTTCTTATAGCTCAGTAGCAGTATCGCTGATCGCAGCATTGGGTGACGCTAGTTCGATTCCCCCAGGGAAAAACAGTTCCTTCCAGGCTTCGAATATGTCCTAGAGATAAGTGCAAGTAAGTACGAAATCTAAGTTTCGGGTTTACCTGCCGATTATTTCTAACTATCTAACAGAAATTCATTCTCTAAATATATTTCTAACACAGGGGATATCAGGTAGTTATTTCCCTGCATCCTTGAAGTTATAAAGGCACGCTATAATGTTCATGCCGTTTCAAAAATTTGACAGCGAAATAAAATGACGTAGTTTATCTGAAACGTGTAACACATTTCGAACATTCCATTCATACACGTACTTGTCATACACACGCATATAGAAGGCAAGGAGGCATACCAGCGTCATTAAGAATCCTGCGTAAAGGTCACTGAAGCTTATCAAATCAACACCAAACACATACAATCTAAATGGTGCAATACCTATACCGAAGATATGCAAAGTGGCAACAAACAACAAGATAGCGAAGGAGAGAAAATGCATGTTAAGGAAATTATCAAGCTTTAAAAAATACACTGATGTAATTATGAGCAGCAATAAACTGTCCTCGAAACGTCATTCAAATGATTAGTACTGCGTCACGATGAACTTATCTAATGTGGTGGAATTACATTCTACCAAAAGTACTCAGAAACAGGCATAAAATGGGCTCTAACGAAAAACTTGGAGGATCTGCAGTTCGCCGATGATATATGTCTGATTCCCCACAAACTGGAAGATATGCAAGTGAAAAGCAACAACTTGGCAGAAGAAGCATCAAAGATAGGACTTCAGGTGAACATATAAAAAACAGAGGTGATGAAGATACCTGGGCAACACCACCAACAGCAGCAACAACAACAGACAACAATCAGCATAAATGGAAGCAAACTGAAAGAAACAACCTCCTTCACTTACCTACCTGGGAAGCATCGTTTCAACTACAGGCCAGCGGAACTGACGAGGATATCAAAGCAAGAATCGGAAAAGCAAGACAAGCTTTCACTACTCTCAAGTCTGTGTGGAGGTCAACAGCATTCAGCACCAAAAATAAGATCCGGATTTTCAACTCCAATGTGAAGTCAGTCAGTTCTACTCTACGGATCAGAGACTTGCAGTGCGCGTCATAAAGAGCATCTCAAACAAACTACAGACCTTCATTAACAGTTGTCTTCGCTTAATACTCAAGATCAGATGGCCAGAAAAGATCAGCAACAGAGGTCTCTGGCAATGAGCAAACCAACCAGGAACCAATTGTGAAACAAATATGCAGGAAGAAATGGAGATGGATTGGCCATACTCTGAGGAAACAAACCATCAAGTGACATCACTAGACAAGCCCTCGAGTGGAAGCCGGCCGAATGGGAAGCGGCGAGTTGGTCTTCAGTGTGAGGGTGACTTGGAGGAGGTCATGTGAAGAGGAGATGAAAGCGTGTGGGCAGACTTGGATTTAGATGAAAACATTGGCAGAGAACCGAACGCAATGGAGACGTTTGGCTGAAGCCCTATGTTCCTCTACGAATTAAAGGAAACAATAATAATAATACGTTCCTAGTGGAACATCGGGCACCTTCAAGCTAGACATTTGAAGTTCCGGTAGCAGTGGTGTTTATTTTTATGGGATGGAGCTGCTAGCCAGCCTCATGTCCAGCCTTCCCTCCTCCTTACCAGTCTTATTACTAGTTTAGCGAGGTAGCAAGGAGTGCGTCAGTGGCCGGGGATAGAACCCTGAACCACACAGAGCGGGGTTGGCGATCATTCGACCGCCATGCCACCGACGCAAACTCAAAATCTACACTTACAATAATAATTCAACTACATGTAAAAAATACATTTGAAAATATGCCAAAAAATAGCACATTTTAAACAATGCGCTTTACTAACATACTTCAATAATCAAGGTAATCGGTTTTGCTTGATTTGCATATTGATAATTTGGTAATGGCACCACAACAAGACCAGCATGATTCACTAAACCTGATCCAGTATAGTACCTGGAAATTCTTGGAGTTGGTTCAATACTATAGAATAATTCATGATGTATCCAAAGCTCCATACTTTCTCCTGTTTTACCCCATTGATTTATACCTATTGCTAAACGTATACGATTGTAATTATCCAGGCGAGTGAAGAAAAATGACCGCCCTGATGTTAATCTTGGATAAGGGATCATTTCAACGATAAAACTGACCGGTAGCAGAGGTGTACCGTACAATGACGAATCTGTTGAGGTGATCGCGGTAGATCCATTTAAATATGAATTTCTCCAGTGATCACAATCGATATTTGATGTATTAGTTGGATTGAAGTATAAATCATTCTGGAGTGGTTCTGTTAGAGTTAAAAGATTGATAAAGTTTCCTGTTGGGATATGAAAATGCAAAAGAAAAGAAATAGCTGCGCGAAGTTGAGAATATCAAGTTATTTAATACAATGACTAAATGTATCGGTCGGTCGGTTTTTGACATAGAACTTTGCACTGATGTGCAGCAGTTCAAGTCACCACACTCCCTCCTTGTAGCACACAAAGGAAGAGAAGAAAGTAGGAGAAATGCATAATATAGGCAGTAAACAGAGGTGTGAGACAAAGGAGTAGTAATAATGAAGAACAAAACAGTTTCATCGGAAATCATAAGTCACAAGGAATGGATGCATCTGCGCCATCACTGAGAACGATTTTGAGCCATGTCACCAATTGTTTCCAACCATTGGTTTTTACCGTCCCGAGGACCCCAACCAGGAAGTCTACACCTTCTTACGTGGCTTAAACTTACTGTTGTGGATTTCATTGACTGGTGCCATGTTTTCCTTTAACCGCCACTAGCTCTTTTCCAGCCTGACCCTATATCAGCTAACATTGCCCATTGTCGAGGAAGGCGATGACTAGGCATACGTAGTACATGTCCTAACCATCTCAGTCGATGTAATTTCAGAGTCTCGTCTATGGATTTCCCCGCCTAACCTCAATATTGCTCACCTTATTATACCACTTCACACACCTGGGAGATAGAACGCAGACACCTATGATCGAAGACAGCTAATCTTTTCATGTCTTCCGCTCTCAATGGCCAGGTCTCACAGCCATAAAGGAGGACGGAGCGGACTGTTGGCCTAAATGTATACTTTTAAATTAGTGAACTAAAATTCAAGTTTGATTGGTTGGAGGATTTCATCATAAGCTGATATCAGTTAGAGAACAATTAGAAAACCATCTAGGAGTACTGGACAGATGTTCCCTACTTCCTAGTTTGTGACTCTTCAGCACTACGCACCCACCGTCATGGTTCGAACCCAGTGCCTTCTGGTTACAAGGCTAGTGAGCTCGTGGACCATTCATCAGCCACCGAGTCCCACCCGATCCGATGGCCAGTCCATGAATTCTGACTTCTGCCAATTCATGACATACAGCGACCACTTCGAAATGTCTTCTTCGATGACTTACTGCCTCACCTTCAGTCTGTCGCACACTGCTAGTCATGGCTTCCCACTAGAACAGCAAGTCAATGCCTGAAAAAGGCAGGTCGTTTATGAGCATCGAAAGGGACACAAAGAACTGGTTGTGCTATGTCATGAATTGGCTGGCGGAAGTTAGAATTCATGGACTGGCTGGCTGGCCATTGGATCGGTTCCCAGTGGCTTAATGATCTTTGAGCTCGCTAGTCTTGTAACGAGAAGGTCTCGGGTTTGAACCATGGCAGCGGGTGCATACTGATGAAGAGTCCCAAACTAGGACAGGAGAAACAGCTGTGCAGTACTCCCTGTGGCTGGTTTCCCAATGGTTCCCTAACTAATGTCAGCTCATGATGAAGTCCTCCAACCAATATAGTAATGACTGAGAAAATAGAAAGGGTTGCTTACCTAGTGTTTTCCAGTAAGTTTGCAGTTCTTATAGGAGATCAAAGAAGTTTGTTCATTCAATTAAACCTCAGCCATTTCACCTTCAAAGGTCAAGTTGGTCACTAATCTGTGCTGACTGGATTAAGGAGAGTCAATGTGCGTTGTAGTGTGACTGTTTATCCCTGTACTCTCTTCATACCATCGTTAACAAATGCATCCTTGAATAAACATATGGGATACATTCTCCCTCCTGTAGTTGGGCTGGTATTAAAAGCAGCCTGGCCACGAGGTTAGGTAGGCAAGGGTAAACAGTCATCAGATACTGTGGCTAAAGCTCAGGTCTAGCAGGATAGTTGACCACGCAGCAATTGTGAGCATCATTTCTAGTTAAAGCCGACCGGAAAGGAGTTCAAAATCATTCAAGCAGCGTAACTAACTTGTTCCCTAGAATTCGTGAGCCGTTCGTATTTTATTTTGACTTTTCTCCTCTTACTTTATATCATCATCCAATGCTTGCCATGTCACACCGTCGTGTTTTCTATCATCAGCTGCACAACTGTAAGGATTCTGGTGAGTGAACCACAAGTTTTGTCCATGCCGCTACTAATTATTCATAGATTATACACTTTCTAGAAGCGATTTCTAATCACTTTGATGAAAGTAAGCGTAACTAACTGGCTTCTTAGATTTTCATGCCTCATACTTTTCTCATCACATAAAATGCTTACTAAATAAGATATTGTAGAGTTTTATATGTAGTATTCCGGGTATAGAGTCTTTTATAAATGGCTACAGTCTTACCTAGTGAGATGCAAGTGGAGAGTTGTATATAAGAAGGACGCTTAGAGTCCAACAAGATGATATTTGACAATTTCTTCGATGAGTTCAAATGTCTGTAAAGAGTCGGTTTGTAAGGAATAGATTTGTTTTTACTAGTTTAACCACGGATTGATATCAGTTGGAGAACCATTCAAAACCAGGGAGCTCGCTAGTGACTTGATACAGGACGGAGTTTCTTGGAGTTCTTTTGAGAAATTGTGACCAGTGAGGTCCATCCAGCCAAGTGTGAGGATGGATTTCCCACCGATGATACTGGTTGGTGCCAGTCACGCCAAATCACGAACTGGTAGAAGTTAGAATTCATGGAAGGTCGTGGGTTCGAACCGTGGTAGTGGATGCGGACTGCAGATGATTTCCAGACTAGGCTGGCTGTCCACTACTTCATTGCTGGTTTTCAATGGTTCTCTGTTACTGATATCAATCCTTGGTCAAATTCGTAAAAAAAATGTCTGTCCACAACAGTATTAACGAGTTAGTTAAGCGACACTCCACTCTCCCTACCGACAACTTTTATTGCCCCTAGATATGTAAGAGTGTCTTTCTGAAGTATCCCAAGGCATATTAGGGTGGGGGGAACAATACAGAAGAATAAGCAGAATGAAGAATAGTTATCGATTACTATAGCAGTCAGGTAAACTTTAGGTTCCCATTAGTTTACACGAAAATACATCGAGAAGGAAATGTACCATGAAGGCTTGGTTATGATTTATTATTTTTTCCATTCATTTCTGTTTCATACAGAAATTAGGGCTTCAAGATTTTATCCATCTGATTTTCATTACCAGTGGTGTTGATTTTATTAGCCTTCACACTTCAAATTTCTAAGCAAATCGGCAAACTACTTATTTAGGAAAAGTAGTTCAGAAATGGTTCCGTAAAGTTACTAAACGACGGTAAATGTTAATTACATAATGTTGATGATTCCCTAATTGATTTGGGGAATTTAGCTTACACTGACCTTAAATATTATGTAACACTAATCTGAAAATCTGCTTCACTCAGTTGGTCAATTATTAATTGCTCTATATTGATCAGGGACTTGGCGCATATGTCACAAAAGGATTTAGCACAGGCTTCAGACTTTTATCAACAGCTGCCCAATTCGCATGGCCTTTTTGGAAGGATTAGCTATTAGGAACTCTGAAAACCAACCAGTTAAGAACCTGTCTCTAAACAAATATGCTAAATGAAGTGGAGATGGATCGGAAATACTCTGAGGAGAGCAATGAGTCGCATAGCTCACCAGTCCCTCAAGTTAAGCTCGAACGGCAAACGACAATTTAATGAGGACAAGATGAGGGCCTGCACGTGATCGTAGAACGAGTTATAGACGACTACAGAGAACTGGATGGAATGGAAATATACTGATGCAGCCCAGTCTCCCACAGGGGAACCAAGAAAATAATAAAATTATAATAATTATTCACTGACTGGATAGGAAGCAAATTTACTGATAATTCAATATGCAAAACATGGCATATACTCAATGACACACCTCTTAACTGGCGACCGGCTTAAATCATTGCGTTTATTTAATTTTCATCTTCACGCAATAAATCTACTGTCCTCCGTCTCTTGTTGTTTTCATCTTCAAATGTATCTTTTGATCGCAGCATGAACTCACGCATATTTTTGACTGACTTCTAATCTACACTATATCCTGATGACTGAGTCTTCTTTCACATGGAACAATATTGTGTCATTCAATATACCGCTGATGAAAGTTTTAATTAAAGACTCTCTACGGGAAGCAGATATTTGCAAAACAACTCTGTGTTCTGTATCAACATAACTCCTAAAGTAAGGCTGACAGAGATGACATGATTAACAACTGTTCCCTCCATGTCAGCTACTCTTATGGCCAAACATTTCGTGGCCAGTGGTTTTAATTATTTTTAATTCTTCTAATGTAAATAATGTATTTTGTTAAAGCATACTAGCATAAAACCGATGATGAGCACCTGACTGAGGAGTAAATATTTCTCCTCTCAGTTTAGCTGGCGGTGGCGTTAAAAATTAGCAATTTACACAAGTTAGAATTCATGAGGTATGAGATTCTGTCTCGGCGTCTCACTGCTAAACAAGCTTGCCTCATAGCATTAAGGTCCAAGGTTCCATATTCGATTAGGTCACAGGTGTCCTACATTAGAACAAAGCCTCTGTCTAGTACTCTCTTATTTTCACTGGCTCTTGACTTGGCTCTAATCTGCTATAAAACTTGGTCTCAATCCGTTAATATCAATTTTTAACATTGGAACTCACCTTTCGATTGGAGGGTATCTATTAAAGGACGTTTCATTGTAAAAGGAGCAGCAGCTGAAGAGGTTAATGTCGCGTATACAAGAACAAAGAAACTGATAGTTGTCCATTTATAGCTGGGGTGATTTTTCAGTTTCAACTGTAAGGATAAATGCTGGGGATTGGATAACATTTTCTGTACAACTTCTGACTTGATGTCAAAAGGGAATTGATTAGTATTTCTGAAATGGATGAATAATAAAATAAGAATAGATAAGGGACTTGATCAAAATATGACTTAATGAACAAAAATAAACAGTTATAAATTTAGACAAAGCAATAAGAAAACGTAATTTATTTGAATCGTGTAATGTTGTATTTGCCCACAACACATTTCGAACAATCTGATCACATACACCGACTTGTCATAGGAAAATATATGAAATTAATAAAGAGTTAAGAGGTGAGAAAAAAAACTACTTAGGTCAAGTTAAAAGGACATATCGAAGATCAAAATAACAATGAAGATCAGTAAACCAAATAACAGAGATAATAGTACATCTGTTATGGTATCAAAACAAAGTTTACGAAGGATGGTTTAGTGTGATGACGAATTGTTTTTGATGAACGCATAAAGGTGGTTTAAACTTCATAATTGCTGGCTAGGGTTTCCACAAACTTTAAGATACACCCCGAATACATTTCATGGATAATAATAATTTGCTTTATTCCAAAAACAGTACTAGTGGTACAGTGTGGAATTTTCAACACTTATCTACAATATTTGCATCTAATTTTATCAAACATTTAAAAGGAGTATTTCAAAAAAATAAATATAAAGACAACAACAACAAAAAACAACAAACACAAAAATAATTCTAAAAGAAATGTGAAAAAAATCCCAAAAAGTAGAAAGGAGAATAAACAACATAATAAATAATATCTCAGTATTGGGTAGTGGAAGCTATGATATGATTATGCATGGTGACAGTAAAGCTATAGTCATACAAGAAGTTATGAAATGATATTTAAGAATGTTTATCGCCAAGATGGTCAGTTAATTTGATTGAAACAACTCTAAACAATCATGAAATAACATTTCAGGGTTGTTTTTTTATTGTTAAGTCTAATGTAGTGTTTGTAGTGGTAGTGTGAGTAATCCTGCATAATACAAAATTTTTTAAGGTGGTGACAATGGCGTTCACAACCAATGATTGTCAGTTTAATATTGCCGAAAAGTATAGAAAATAAGAAAAAACAACCACAACACTAATAATTACATGATGGTTAATGACAGGATAGTTTTGTAATACTCATAGTGCCAATAGAGTCGGAACCAGTGGATACACAAAAGAAGAAATACAGTAAAGTACAAAAAGTAAGCCAATGTTAATAATTTAGGTAGCTTAGTAAGTTTGAGAAGGAGTTCACTATAGAATACAAAATAAGAGAGAAATAAAAGAGCCTAAAATTATGTTGTTATTAACAAAGCAAGTCATAGGTTTCACGCTTAACATTGTCTCTGTCGCTTAGAACACGGGCCAAGTATGGTATCGTCGAGTTCCTGTACTTGGTTGTACGAGCATAGATTATTTCATACTGATTTCTGGTTCTACTTGATGAGATACAAGGAGAGAGTTGGGAATAGAGGAGGCGTTGGGGGTCGGAGAGTATGGTTTTAGACCATTTTCGCATGTATTCAGATGCCCATCAACTAATGTAGTGACGAGCTGATTGAGTTTTACACCACTAGTCCTACTGACTACCTTCAACATCCTTTTCAGGATGGTGTAGTCCTTTTTCAGTAGCCCAGGAAAGATTAACAGGGAGCAATAATGTAGAATAGATAAGATACAAGAGTTGACAAATTGTGAAAGTAGAGGTTGGGTGATAGGTTTAAAAGACGTGTAAACATCAATTTTATGTCCTGTCTCTATAATATGCTTCTCAATAAAGGAGGGAGGTCGTCGTCTGTTCTCACCATAAATGGGTTCTGGGGATTCTATTTCCTTCTGAAGCCATTTAGAAATATACTCTGAAGGCCTCACTTCAGTAGAATCCAACGAATATGCACTGAAGACACACTTGATAAAGAAGAAAGAAAGTTGATACAAACTCTGGTTGATAACAATTATCCAGACAAGTTGATCAGGAGATATAAAGTAGTCAGTGGAACGCTAAGACCCACTCTGTAACTTGCCGCTAAGAAAGACGTGTACATTAAGCTATCGCATATGGGTGATCATAACAGTTTGACAACTAGACAAAGACTGAACACTGTGGATAAAAAGATTTTTTATGCAGCTAACTAAGATTAGAATAATTGAGAATGTGTAACCGGTATATCATTTTGAGACCTTAGGAAAATGCAAAAAATGATGTCACATCCCACTGTATCTAACAATTTAAATGTACGTGTGGCTACGCACACATAAGAAGGACTTTTCGATCTCTGCAAATAAAGACTTCAGAGCATATCCCTTAATAGCTTCAGAAGTAAATATAATCTTCTAAGCTTTTCGATAAAACATGTTTGAGGTAAGGCGTATCCTAAAGTTGTGGAAGCCCTAGCTAGCAATTATGAAGTTTAAACCACTTTTATGAGTTCATCAAAAACAATATGACATCTCACTGAACCTTCTTTGGTAAACTTTGTTTTGATACCATAACAGATGTACTATTACCTCTGTTATTTGGTTTACTGATCTTCATTGTTATTTTGATCTTCGATATGTCCTTTTAACTTGACCTTAGTAGTTTATTTTCTCACCTCTTAACTCTTTATTAATTTCATATATATTCCTATGAAAAGTACGTGGAGTGTGATCAGCTTGTTCGAAATGTGTTGCACAAATACAGCATTACACGATTCAGACAACTTACGTCTTCTTATTGCTTTGTCTAATCAGGTATAACGAAAATATTAGCAGAAGTATGCTGGTGAATAGTTTTAGCGAATATTTGCAACTTTTGAAAAATTACAGTGGAAAAATTGCACTTCAAACCAACGCTACCCACTCCACAGCTATGCAAATATCATGGGACCTGCTAGATTATTCGATGAACCAGGATTCACTAATCAACCACCTTTCTCTATCTCCATCTACCTATTTTACTTTTTAGAATTTTGACTCTGTCCCACACACACTATTGTTTGATTGTGTTAATGCATGCGGTGCAATTGCTGAGATTTTTTTCTTAGTTACTTATCTTCGCGGAGTCAACCATTCCAACCTCAGCTAAATTCTTATGTTCCGACAAGCTGACTACCACGGCCCGATCTACTAGTTTGACTGACCTACGTAGATCACTTCACTCACATTCATTGCAAGGTATTTTGTAAACTATATTATTTTATCTAATTAGGTCAACTGAGTCCTTCAACCCACAAAATTAATCCCTGAGTGAGTTTGTAGGTTCAATAAATGCTACACTAATTCATGTTTTATTGAGAATCCTACTACGTAGGCTTTCAGATGTCTCCTCCGCATATGGTAAAACCACGGTAGATGCCTTATATTCTCTCTTTTTATGCTATCACTATTAGTTCCACCAATATTTTTATTTTGCTTTTGACCTTTTTTGATATTCCTAATGAATTTTATTGGATAGTTGGTTATTAAACATCAACCAGCTATTCTCCTGTCTGCTTCATTTCATCGTTTAGGTCTCTTGTTGTACTACTTAGTGCTATTGCTCGGTTTGTTAGACACTTAACTAATTCTGCATTTACAGATAACGAACGGATGAGATGAATTCAAGTCTAAATATCCAATATTAGAATACGGTGGCATTTTATAAACGCTATTGTACAGTTTACCTTCTTCTCTTCGTTTTATTTTACAATCTAAAACCGTAGCTAGTTCTCCTTGTTGATTTTCTGATTCAAATGTGAATTTTATTCCCTTTACTAGTGAGTTTATGTGCGTGTGAAGAAGCTACAGAGAGAGATATGTTCTGTTTTTAACACTATATGTGAAAGTGTCCTCCACATATATCTTCACTATATCTTTGGAGTAGGATTAAATACATTAAGAGCAGGATTTTCCCAGCTGTCATTCTAGAATCTTCTTACCAGTTTCATAAAAATGAAATTCTGAAAATTTCAGAAGATCACACAATAACTAATAAAACCAAAAACATTTTTGTTAATATTATTCATCTTAATAATAATAATAAAATTTTTCCTTTGAAGTTAAAATCTATTCTACATTTAAAATAAGCCTTATACATCCACATTATTATGCATGATTGGGAGGCTATTTCATAAACAACTATTTGTTATTGTTATTGTCACACAACTGTTCATTTACTGCCCTTAATGATCCTCCGATCATCACAATCTTGTTTATTATCCGTTCAAAACATGAAAAGATGAATTCAAGATGAAGGGAGAGGGAGAGAACGTCAACACTGCTAAGTAATTACCGTCAGATTTCATTATTGAAATAAACAATGTCTTTAATTGATGTTATGCCTGTGTGTGTGCATGTGATTGGCAAGTTGGTTTAGAATAAGAACGTAAGAATAAATACTGACATTAATAGCTTCCGTAATAATACAAGTAATGCTAGTAATATTGTAACGACCGAAGACAAGGACAAGGCACCAGATCCTTTACTGAGAGGTACTTATAGATTTTTATGTGCATTAATATTAGAATACCTACTACCAAGCTAAAAGAACTCCTACTCAGATGTACCCTAAATGTCCAGTTCACATTCAATGGGAACTTCTATAGACAACAAGATGGCGTGGCGATGGGGTCACCTTTGGGTCCGGTGCTGGCTGATATTTTCATGGCAAGTTTGGAAAACGGTCCGCTGAAAGCAACCATCGACAAATTCTTCTTATACAAAAGGTATGTTGATGATACTTTCGTCATCTGCGATAACAATTGTGATCAAAATATTGTTCTTCAAGTTTTCAGTAGTTGCCACCCCGCCATCAAATTCACAGTCGAAGTAGAAACCAATGAGACAATCTCCTTTCTGGATGTTCGTTTCAGTAAGAAGACCGATGGTACCTTGAACAGATCAGTACACAGAAAACCTACATGGAACGGTCAGTTGACAAACCTCTACAGTTGGGTACCAATTAGTCGCAAGTGAAATTTGACAATATCTCTGGTGACTAGAATCCGAAAAATCTGCAGTCCTGAATCAATAGAGGAAGAGATCGCCCTCTTAAGGA